TTAGTCTTAACACATTGACCCAAACCACCTTCTTTTCAGTGCCACCTTGTCTTAGTCCATTTTCTTTTGCTGTTACAAAATACCTAAGGCTGGGTAATTTATAAAGGAAAGAGGTCTGTTTTGGCTCACAGTTCTGGAGGCTAGGAAGTTCAAGAGCACGATGCCAGCATGTACTCAGCTTCTTGTGAGAACCTCGTATGACATCATAGCATAGGGAAAAAGCAGAAAGGGGAACAAGTCATCCCTCAGTCATGTGAGTGAGACTGAGGGATGGTGTGAGGCTTGCCTTACACCAGCTCTCTCTGGAGATAACTAACCCACTATGGAGGTGACGAAATTAATGTCTTCATGGGTTTGGAGCCCTCATGAAGCAATACGCACAATGGTCTCTTAAGGGCTCCACCACTTCTCAATACTGTTATGTCAGCAATTAAATCTCAACATGAGAAACCATATTCAGACCTTAGCATTCCCTCTATCCCTTAATTTTTATTTTTTTGTAAGTGGTATCCCCATTTACCTAGTGGGGTACTTCCCTCATTTCAATTTGTCATCACTTATGTTTACCTTTGTCATAGTTCCAGTGATTTTCTCCCTCACTCTAGCCATTATCTTGCTCCAAGCCCTCATTGTGCTCAGGGCTATTTCTAAAGCTCTCCTTTCTCTCCACTCAGTCTTGGTGATCTGTTCCCTGACTTTAAATAGCGTCACCTGACAGTAACTCCTTTCCAGCTTGACTTCACCGCAAGTTTCAGTTTGGGTCTGGATTTTCATAATCACACATCGTCTGTTTTCACCTTACTTGATAGACCAGGCATTCTCAAATACTCTATCATGGTGTTTCAGGGCCTTGGCTCTCTTCTCATCTTCCCAGCCTCTAGCTTTGGTCTACTCTAATTTATCCCTCATTCTTACCCAGTATGATTTTTATCAAGTACATTCCAGGCATGTCACTGCTTTGCTTAAGAAGTAGCCAGGAGCTTCCTGTTGCATCTGGATCTTGGGCAAGATCACTGAGGATGCACCTGCTATATATCTCAACTCCTACCTCTTCTCCTAAGTATCCTGAAAACCATCTCTCCCTGTGGCTGCTCAACCCAGCAGCTGGGCTTTTTCCTTTGGGGTGGGAGTAAGTACTGGGGTTTGAACTCAGAGCCTTGTGCTTGCTATGCAAGCACTCTACCACTTAAGCCATGTCCCCAGCCCATGGTCTTTTGCTCATATGTCTTAGTTCACAGTTTTCTTTCCCCTTCACTTTTACCTACCCAAAAAAGTTTTATTCAAAGATGACTCAATGGTCCCTTCTCAGAGAAGCTTTCTCTGATACATTCAGGCAGAAAAACAAACAAATAAACAAACAAACAAACCTCCTTTGGTGTTTTTCTAGCATTTTTTTTTATTTCCATCATAATACTTTATCCAGATAACTTATCCAATAAATATTTGTTGCTTGCTTGCTATATGTTAGAAAGCATTCTAGGCACTGGAGAAAGAAGAAGGATGATATCCTTATTTTCCTTCCCATTTCAGAGGGAAGGAAAGAGAAAAAAGAAGTAAACTGTAAATAAAATGCATATTATTTTAGATAGTGATAAGGGTATCAAGGTAAAATAAAATCATAGTGTGGTGATTTGGGGGAAGAAAGGGTGAGACAGGAAACTGACTGAGATATGCTGTTTGAGTTGAGACTTCAAAGGTAAGAAGGAGCCAGCCATGAGGAGATCTGAAAAAGCAACATTCTGGGTAGAAGTGCAGAGGCCTCAGAGCCAGAATGATCTTGGCATGCTGAAGTTGCAGAAGGCAGGCAGTGCATAATGAGCAGGAGAAAGGAGCACCATATGAACTCTGAGAGGAAGACAGGACCAGATCATTTAGAGCCTTAAAGGTGAGATTTGTCAATTTTAAGTGCAGTAGTAAGGAGCCATTTTAAGAGTTTAAGTGGGAGAGTGACATCTGATCTATGTACAGAATTATGTCACTCTGGTTATTTTTAAAATTTTTATTTTATTTTTTTGATGGTACTAGAGTTTGAACTTAGGACCTTATGCTTGCTAGGCAACTCCCTTACTGCTTGATCCATGCCTCCAGCACATTTTGCTCTGATTATTTTGGAGATAAGGCGTCACTTTTTGTCCAGGCTGGCATCATGAACCTCCCTTTACACTCACCACTGTCGCTGGGGTAACAGATGCACATCACCATGCCCAGCCAGACTTGGAGCCATGATCTGATTTCAGCCTTCCAAGTAGCTAGGAGTTCAGGCACAAACAAGTGGTGTTCTGCTCATTCTGGTTTATAATGAGGAGAATTATGAGGGACAATGTTGAGAGCAGAGACGAGTTAGGAGTTATTGCCTACTAAAAGTGAAAGGTGTTAGTAGCTTGAATTACTGTGGTATATCTAGTGTCTGTGGAGTAAAGTAGAATGACTTGGGATATATTGTGAAGGCGGGCTGACAAAACTTGCTTATAGGTTGAATGTGTTTGTTGGATTTAGGGAAGGATAGATCCAAGAAAAGAACTCCTTGGCTTTTCTTTATTAAGTGGGTGGGTGTTGGTGCCATTTTTTGGCATGTGGATGAGTAGTGGTGATGGTGATGAGAGAATTTGATGGGAAGGAATCAAAAGTTATGTTAACTTATGTAAATCATAAGGCACATGCCTCTTATGATTTCAAAGTGTAGATGGCCAGAAGGCAGTTGGATATATGGTTCTGAAGGTGAAGGGTGGAGCTAGATAATTTTAAGAGCCATCAACTTACTCATTATCTTTTAAAGCTGTGGGGCTGGAGCACAGATAGAGATAAAAGAAGACTATGGGCTTTGGACATTGCAGAGCTTAAGGTCTGATAGAAGAGGACAGATGGAGAGAAAAGGGGGAGCCACAGAAGAGAGAGGCAGCAGGAAGAAGGATTACTTCTAGGAGGAGGAGGGTCAACTTGTCATGTTGCTTAGAGTTTGGTAAGATGAAGACATAGATGCGACCACTGGACTTGACTCTCTGGGGGTCATGGCATGACCCCTCTATGGCCATGGTATGAGCATAGCTAAGACATTTGAGTGAGTAGAAGATAGGAACTTAGCTTACTACATTCAATGCTTGTGTCTGTGTTCTCTAGTGTACTAGTCCTCAGTTTATTTCTAGGCTTTAGCATATAGTAGATGGTAAATAAATGTTTGTGTGTTTGAATTTTAGTGTGGCTTAACAAATAACATGCTGTTTTACCCTCATTTAGAATGCCTTTGGTTCATTGACCCTTGCTGTGGAGAGTGGAGTAGGAGAAGCCTATGAGGACATAAGATGCAGAGCAGCTGTTTTTCCTAAGATGTTTATGTCAAATAATCTGTAGGATGAGATTTGGCACAGCCCCAGCTGCAGAAGAGAGTGAGAAGGCAAGATGCAGCTCAGCTGCTTTTCCTAAGTTATTTATGTTCAGAGAAGTAGAGATGCAGGTTTCTCTTGTTACAGTTCTTCTGCCAGAACTGTACTCCACCTCCTTGTTTACCACTGGGTATAGAAGACTCGCTGAAGGAGGACAAGAGGCTTTTTGGATGAAGGGAGGCTTTTAGATGAAGGGAAGCTTTGGATGGGGAGGTTTTTTGATGAGGGGTTTTTGGCTGAATGGAAATTGCTGGAAGGGGAAAATGAATTGTTGAAGGGAAAAGGATTGCTGAAGGGAAATGAATTGCTGAAGGAAAATTGCTAAAGGGGAATTGCTAAAGAGGGGTTGATAGAAAGTCTGCACCGAGAACTTTATACATAGGCTTTAGAAAAGCTAAGCTAAAGAAGAGCTAAAGAGAACATGGGACGGTGCAAGTCTGAGCACCGAGGTTTTAAGAAAGCTAAAGAGAGAACATGGGACAGTCCAAGTCTGGGGACAAAGACTTGAAGAGAGATTATGCTAAAGAAAAGCTAAAAGAAAACATGGGACAGAGCGAGTCTAAGGAAAGAGACTTTAAAGAATAGAAAAGAAGAGTTTTGGAAGAAAGGTTTTAAAAAATTGTAAAGGAGTAAGGCCTTAAAGAAAAGACAGAGAAAAGCAGAGTAAAGAGAAGAGATTAATAGAGATAAGAAGCCATGAGGCTGTTGTGCATCTCCACCTGAGTACCCATCACACCTGGCCCCGACTTTCTGTCTGTCTATCCTGTGACCTTTTTGCACCTCTCGTCACCCCCAGTTAGGCCCAGTAGTAACAGGAGCAAGAGAAAAAGCTCGCTCCACCTTGCCATTAGTTTGTATGAGTTCAAGGAATGTAGTCATGTGAATAGTAACTTAAAACATGATAAGAAAAGGAAGTCTATCTTAATAGAAGTTCATAGTGCATCTTAAAGCCATAAAGCTGTAGTGAAAGCCGCCATCCTTTAAACTCTGAAGGCCTGCTTTTCATGCTTTGGGTATGCACTTTATCCTTTGGAAGTGGTCTGGGGCAAGTTCTCTACCCCACTTTCTTGCTTGCAGTTCCTTAGCTGTCAGAAATGGGTGAAATCAACAGATTTCTCTTAGAGGATTTTTGTAGGAAGTAAATGAGCTAGTGCACATGAAAGTCCATTGCAAGTAAAAAGATACTCAGTAAATGCTATTTTTTGTAAAATTAATTGGACTATCCATTTCATTACTCATTTCTAGAGTAGATTAGATCAGAGTGTCATGAGATTCATATTTAAGCAGTGGCATATGAATGGCAACAAGTTGGGGAGGACACAGATCACTGGGAAATGTGTTGCTTTTTCAGAAGCATATAGGAAATTAATTTCTTCTGACTTTGTTCTTTTATCCTCCCCAGATCAATTTAATCATTGTATTAGGGTCAAATAATACCCTTACACTTCAAGATCTACTGATCAAGTCCAGCTAGGGGTCTGTTTACCCAGTGTTGTATATACATGAAAGAATAACATGTAGTTAGCATTGTTTGAGTTTTCTTTTTTCAAAGAATACATTGATTAATTCAATTTGACAAATTTTCCTCATGGTGATGATTCATTTTGTTTTTACTTCTAGGGTAAAAATCATGGCAAGAAACTCCGAAATTACTATGCAGCCAATAGTTGTCCTCCTCCTGCCAGAATGAGCACTGCAGTGGAGCCTGCAGCTACCCCAGTTGTTCCAGTCCCTCCACAGGTGAGATGTGTTTTGGGGCAAAGCAGCATTAGGAAGCTGTCATTTGCACAGATGATCATGAGTGACGTTTGTTGTCAATGTACCCATCAAGGCACAGCTGGGCAAGTACTCCTGTAAGATCCTACTTGGTACTTTTAACTTCTAGATCTGTGTGTGTTAAAATCTTTGAATCTTGAGATTTCTCATTGGATTTTGTTGTGATATGTGAGATGATGAAACAAATGTTATGACGTAAGTATACATTTATCAAAATTCTGGGCTATGTGACCCTGAATGTCTATGCTCTGCCCTGAATGAAAAGAGAGATTTTAAATATTCTTATTTCTTTATTGTAGTTAATTCCATTTATGGTAAATTTTGTCTTCCAGTTGCAAGATCAGTTTCTTGAGCAAGCTTTAGTATAAATGCTTTCTATACTCTGATAGTACAACATACACTTGAGATACCAGTTCCTTTTGCTTTTCAGAGACAGAGCAGGTGATTTAGGCAAGATATTTCTGCACACCGGTAGCCTTTGAAATACTGCAATCTACCTTTGAAATATTATTTGTCACAGAAAAGTACTGTGGCCATAAGTACTAACTATAATTGAATTATAATTTAGTACTTACTGTGCAAGGCACTCTGCTAAGCACTTTTCATGCATTGTTTCATTCAGGGCTAGGAGAAACATGAAGTGAGGGTTGCACTTGACTTGGTCATGGACTTTAAGCGGGAAGCAAAAAAAACCAAAACCAAAAAAACAACTTGGTACTCAAATACTTAAATGCTGTATCTGTCTAAAATACATATTTGGCAGTACTGGGGTTTGAACTCAGAGCCTTATGCTATGTCTCTAGCCCTTTTTGCTTTTTAGTTATTTTTGAGATAGGGTCTTGCTTTTGCCTTGGCCAGTATGGATCATAAACCTCCTACCTATGCCTCTTGCGTCGCTATGATTACAGGTGTTGTGAGCTACCATGCTCAGGTTGTTTGTTGTGATAGGGTCTTGGCATCCTTTTGTCTGGGTTGGTCTTGAACCACAATCTCCACCTGGGATTATAGGCATGAGCCACCATACCTAGCCTTCTAATGCAATATTTAAAAAATTCAGAATGAATGTAAAGAAAAAAAAAGCCAATGGTGAACAAAATGTCAAAAACCTAAAGATAGGGTAAGTAGTAATGATTTTCCTTTTGCCTCTGATTGCAACATGGCTTAGAATAGCAGTGTTACTAACCCTGTCTTTATTTAAATTTTTGATGTTTTGTTAGTCATTATTTTTTGCATTAGGTTTGATTTTTAAAAATATTCCATTCAATTATTGTTTATCTTTGATTTCTTGAGTTTTTGATGCTTGCTTAAATTCTGTGCATCAGGCAGGTGTCTCACTTGCTTCATTCTAGTTCTGGGCCCTGCTTTCACTTAATGCTTGCAACAGCTTAAAAGTGTGAGCATCATTACTCAAAGTGTGGCCTATGGGCCAATAGCATGAGCCTCCCTGGAAGTTTATTAGCGCTCAGGGAGGTTAAGTAACTTTCTGCATTTTCACATGTTCTGAAGCACCTAGAGCAAGGGTTTCTTTTGGTCTTAGACCTCTGTCCCTACTACCATGGATTAAATTTATTGTATGAGTGTCAGTGTTTTAGTGCTTAAAATGTGGCTAGCAATACCAGCTGTTCTTCCTTCTCGGATTTGTGGGGAAAATGAGATATATTAAAAGTGAAATCAGAGGACAGGAAAATACCCAGAGAGATCTTCAAGCAGAGTGGTTTTCACAGTACCAGTTCCTCAAGGGTGCTGTAGAGTTGGATGGCTGACCCCTGTGGGGGTTGTCTTAAACTGGTTCATCCTCCTGGGAAAGCAGTCTAAGCTCCCTTTTATAACATCGTCCTTTGTGACTTTTGATAGCTATCCTGTCCCCAAAGAAATTTCTGTTCCAGGTGAAACAGTGCTGCTTTCTTCAGCTGTTCCAGATACACTGTGGTTTCCAGAATCTTTATTTTATACATATACGTATTATTTGTATTTATAATAATATTATTGTCATCATTTCTTTTAGTTTGTACCTTTCTTTTAATCCTATGAAATTGAATCCCTACTTTATTAGGTTTCCTTTAACACGTTATTTCCCAACTAGAATATAGTTGTCTAGATCTACTATTTGTTTTTCCTAATTATATCATCAGTAGTTGTAGATTTTATGAGGACAGGGGCTTTAAAAACATATATGACGGTATATCCCTTCTGGACTAGACAGCAAGCCCAGTAAATAGTTGGTATTCACTAAATGTTGATGATAGATTCTGAGCAGACTTTACTCCTTCCAGAGATGAGATTTGAGGCCATACCTATTTTTTTAACTTATTATTTCATGCCCTGTGTCTTCCATGCTGGAGTTTTAAAACTCATTTAAATTTTTCTTCAGTGAAGATAGAAGCAAGCCACTCATGAATTTGGTACGTAGGTGATAATGCAAAACCATGAGTATCTCCCAGCTGCTGTTTCTTTTTCTGAAATCAATTATTTCCTTTCCTTGTAAAGATTAGTGGTTGTGGTCATGCCACATGCTTTGAGTATTTTTCAGTTTTTAGGAGGATCTTTGAGAAGCAAGGACTAAGCTCCCTTTTTAACCTTACTTCTTCTTGTGTCTTTGGTGTCAGATGGGCTCCTTCAAGCCAGGAGGCAGAGTGATCCTGGCTACAGAGAATGACTACTGTAAGCTCTGTGATGCCTCCTTTAGCTCCCCAGCTGTGGCACAGGCTCACTATCAAGGGAAGAATCATGCCAAGAGGCTGCGGCTGGCGGAAGCTCAGAGTAACTCATTCTCGTAGGTATTGCCATTTCCTCTGAGGCCAATGTGAGACAGACTGTCTTTAAAGAAAAAGAGTTGAAAGAGATCCTTGTTTAGAAGTCTTATTCTTTTAAAATTTCTTTTCTCCAGGGACTCCTCAGAGGTGGGTCAGCGACGGACCCGGAAAGAAGGGAATGAATTTAAGATGATGTCTAGTAGGAGAAATATGTATACAGTACAGAATAATTCAGGTATCCTGCATATTGCCACATGCTTTGGAAATTTCCACATACATTCTGCAAATGGTCTCTTATTTTTATTTCCTTTTTTTTTTAATTGGACAGTACTAGGGTTTGAACTCAGGACCTAGTGCTTGCTAGGCAGGTGCTCTATGGCTTGAGCTAGAGCAGTTCTTTTTATGTCTTTTGATAGTAATAGGTAGTCCTGAGAAATCAGGCTTGGTTTAGTGGATTTTCAGGCTGGTGTTTATTTCAGGTCTTATTTGTTTATTTCCTATTTAGTATATTATTTAGTTTAGTTTTAAACATAGACCAGAATCTATATTTTAGGTTGTATTTTTATAGTTCCTTTTTGTTAATTCTGATATTTGCCAGCTAAAAAGTGGAAAATTCCTTACAAGAATGGACTGCTTGGTTTAAAGTTGTACCATGTTCAATTCCCATCTCATGGGGAAAGTACATTATCAGCTATGTGTCAGAGAAGAAGTTTTTGTTCTCTTGCTGATGATCGAACCAGGAACATGTACATGTTAGGCAAGCAGTCTACCACTGAGCTACACATTCCCATCCCTCAAGAGGAAAATAAGAAAAATAGAAGTAGTTTTTAACCAGGCTGGTGAATCAGAATTATCTAGGGAGTTCATACACAATGCATATGCCTGTATGTTTAGAGATTTTCAGTCAGTATATTTGGAGTGAGACTCAGCCATATGTATGCTTTGAAGATGCTTCCTTGATAATTCTGATATATACATTCAGTTCAGAACCACAAATTTACAAGAATGTTTTCTGCTTGTCTTCAGCAGGGAGAGTAGGACTGAGTAGTCCATCCTCCCCACAGCTCAGCCTCTGATAGTCCATATGCCAGGAGAGGTCATTTTTGTGAACAGTAAAACAAAAATAAAGTTAACTGAAAAGCAAGAGATAGTTAGTACAATTTAAAAAAAGACTTAGAAAACACAATGCAGTTAAATCTAAATGTATTAGTAGATACAATAAAAATTTACTAATTAAAAGACAGATTATCAAAGTGGATAAAAGAAATCTAGCTGAAATGAGGGAAACTGTGATTTCTTAAATATAAATAAATTTATTAAATAAATTTTAGAATGAAGGTGTCATAACAAAAATATAAAAACAAAATTTCCATTTGTTTGGGAATTTTTAAATACTTCTAAGTGACTCATGGTTCAAAGAATCAATCATACTGGAAATTAAAAACTCTTAGAACCAAACAGTAAAAGAAAGTATATCAAAACTTGTAGAATGCAATGAAACTGTATTTTGAGAAAACCATTAAATATTTATTATTCTAGTAGAAAAGAAAATTAGAAAATTAATGAGTAGTCCTGCTTAAGAAGTCAGTAAGAAGAAAATAAAGTCAGTAATGTCACCAACATTCCAACCATTTCATATGTTACTACTTTAAATTAGAAATAGGATCATATTTGTGATAGTGTTTGTTTACCTAATAGTATACTATATTTTCATGTAATTAAAGAGTTTTCTGTGCAATGACATTTAGTGACTACATTGCTGTGTGTGTGTGTCGTGCCTCGGAGGGAGCCCAGGGGGGCCTTGTGTGTTCTCATTAAGTGCTCTACTACTGAGCTGTGTCCCCAGCCCACCACAGTCTTACATTACACTCATTACCATCATTTTTCAAATCCTATTTTTGGACTTCTCCTTCCCATAAATTTTTGCTTTTATAAACATTGTTAAAGTGAATGTTCTTGTTGCTAAATCTCTGTGGAAAAGCTCAATGTTGTCTTGGGATAATTCTTAGAAGCGAAATTTTTAGATTAAAGCATTAACATAATTATAAAAATTTTTATATAATGTTTGGAAATTAAAGTATTTTTTAAATTGTGTTGAGTTCTTAGAGGCACAGTCACTTAGACTTTATGTTTTGCTCTATAGTTACTTTCCTGACAATAGAGTCATTTTCTTTTTGTACATCGAACCTATGCAAACTTATAATTTAAAAATCTGTTAACTTCTTCATTTAAAGTTATGGATCTGTGAATTTTATAATTTGAATTTGGAGTTACATGAGAATCAGTCAGTGTCCTTTCTTAGTGATCATTTTGATGATATTAATTTATCTTTTGCTTTAGCAGGTCCGTACTTCAATCCCCGCTCTCGGCAGAGAATTCCACGTGATCTAGCTATGTGTGTTACTCCAAGTGGCCAGTTTTACTGCTCAATGTGCAATGTCGGAGCTGGTGAAGAGATGGAATTCCGGCAGCATTTAGAGAGCAAGCAACATAAAAGCAAGGTGTCTGAACAACGGTACAGGAATGAGATGGAGAATCTGGGATATGTACAGTGATTGTTATATTCAAATAGAGCAGCTTGTCCTGCCTGTGGTTTGCCTTCTGTCACCTTGCCCTGCTTTGTGATCCTTTTGATATGAATACATTCCTCTGCTCAGTGTTAATACCTGTAACCTGCAGTGGTGCCATGAGATGTCAAAACTCGGGTTTGCGGGGAGGGAAACTTGCTTCTTAGGTCATAATGCTTTTTTAGACCAGCTGTGTTGAGCTACTTACAGCATGTAATCTATGTACCCTACCAGAAATGACTTTTTGTCTTGACCAAGTTCTGAGTGTCTAGTAGCCTGGTCACTTAGAGCTGTGACTATTTAACAATTTCATCTTTGCAATTTTAGTTTTATGGACTGTTAGATGAAATTGTTTTGAGTTCTTATTTCAGAGCACAGTAAAAACAGGTAAGCAGAGATTTCCATTTCCAGAAGCTTCATTGGACCCATCATCACCTCAGTGCATTGTCAGTAGGACGTACTATTCCAGTCTGCAGTAGGGCCTTGCCCAGGACATCATTTCCCTGTGTCATGTCCCTCCATCATTGAAGTGAAGGTGATCTTGAATTCACACGCTTTCAGAGTGCTTGTGTTCTTCCAAACAGTCAAACTTCATTTCCAGGTGTAAATTTCACACATTTAATTGCCACCTCCTTCCATCCTCCTTTTTCAACCTGTTTGAATCAGCTTGTCTGGTAAGCTCATTTTTATATCCTACCTGTACTGTGGTTTTTCTAAGCCCCAGATATGAATATCTAATGAGTTCAAGATGGGCATGATTTTTAAAAATATACTTTTCAGCTAATTTTAGGAAATTTAAAGATGTGTTAACTTTTTAATTTAGTTGTTTTCACTAATAATAACAGGCACTAACAGGATAGTCTCAACTGTAAGTTCAGATTTCTTGATACTTTATTTTGGTAGTCTTTTAAAATAATCCAATCCTTACACTTTACAATTCTTCTCTGTCTACCAGTTTATTGGCTATTGTGAAAAAATACCACTGCCTGCAATTTCATAGATAGAGAATTTAAAAAAAAAACCAACTGATCAAATTTCAGCATCTTCATTTTCTGTGGAAAAATACATGAGTCTGCTTTTCTTCATAATTTGACTTTCTTGCAGATACTAAAATTATATTATAGGTGACTTTAGTATCTGATCATTATAATGCCATTATCAGTTTTGTTCTTTTTAAATAAGAAGCCATAGTATATGTTTAGATGAACTAATGGAGTGTTATGTTAATTTTCAGTAGTGGCATTTTCTCTATTTACTGCATTTTAATAACTAGATCTATATTTATGGATAAGACTGGTACCCATCTATGCTTCTTTTGAAAGACCATACTCACCATTTAGCAGTACTTTTATGCTATAGTAAATGTACATTTGATTGCTTATGTTACCAATTAAAAGTAAAACTTCAGTGTAACCTTGAGTATTCTATAGGCAAATGGGTGGAGAGAAGGAAAATTATAGTTAGCATTCCTTTTCTGTAGTACTGCAGAACAATTTTTAATAGTCTAGACTCAGTTAAAAATTAGTTTTGTGATTAACTTCTAGAACAGTATGAAGTTACTTTCTTCTGATGAAGTGGTAGTTTACTGAAAAGTAGAATTATTTGGTAAACTGTTTTTCTCCCAGAAACAAAAGAATGAAATAACATTCTGTTGAGATTCTATACTCTTAGTATAATGACCCTTTTTTGCAGTAATCTATAAAGAACAGTTAATTCACTTAGGGCAATTTAGGGCTTATTTTATTGTCCAGTTGGTTACTCATTTGCTGCTAAGTATAGCTTTTGGGTAGATTTTAATATTTAATGAACATTTCCCCTGCTTTTCCCACTTAACAGTTTCATTATATATGTACAAAAACCAGTGGACTTAAGGGCTTGATGTCTTTTCAGGCCTTGTGTATTCAGGTTTCCAGTTCCCAGTGCCCTTAATGATCTTATGAATGCATAAGCGCATTTCCTTTTAAAGAAAGAAGTTAGATTTATAGTGTTGTTTCTTTTGTGCTGTATTTCTTTGCACTAAAAAAGAGCTATGTGTTTGTTTTATATGACACTTTAGTACCATATTGCCTACAATAACTCAATTTGTTTCTTAATTTCAAACTCACTTCCATGATCATTTATAGAGGTTACATGCACAGCACCCCCCAAAAATCACAAATTTCTATGCTGGTAGGTTGTGTTTGAGGCTAGTAACCTTGCAGTATTCTCTTGTGTTCCATAGGTTAGGCAAAGGGTGACAGAGGTTGTTGTGGCTGCCTGAACAATTTCTCATAGTCATGCATACTATATAGACAGTGTTTCCTCTCTGTCTAAGCAGGCTGTTGTTGCCTTTAGGTCAGTGATATGTGATCTCTGTTGGTTTCATTTTGTGAAGTGTGGTCCTGTTCTGTAACATGCTTTAGGATCTGCACCCCTATGTACCATATATGAGGATGGACAGAGGCCAAAACAAAGGAAAACCTTTAGTCCAAGAATAAATTAAATAGGTCTCAGTAATCACCCAGGAGAACTCATAATATCAAAGTCTTTTTTTCCCTCTGAATATCTTTGTGTACATTGTCATTGAAAATCAATGTTAGAAGAAAATTAGGAACTCTTCTAAGATACCTAGAATGCGAGGTAGTAAAGGAAAAGTTTGTGTTTCAATTAAAAGATTGGATTGTGTATGTCTTTGAAGTGTGTTATGTTTTCCTTAAAGTTCTGTTACAAAACTGAGTGTGTCCATTAATCCTTTTGACTCCATTCTGAACAAAAAAATACTTTGCTGGTCTGTCATGATTTATATATCATGTCCTGCAAGTTGTAAATATGTGCATGTTGTTTATTATGTCTGCTGTCTTATGAACTGAATTCTGCAAGGTGAATAACTTTTATACCATTAATTTTGAAAAGGCCTGTCCCCCAACTCTTTCTCACTATTTCCCCTTTTAATTAGTTGGTAAGCTTAGAAAACCATTTAGGATTTTTGAAATCTTGAGATTGAATGAAGAATTATGACTGAGAATATTGTCACATCCCTCTGATTTACAAGGCTACTGGGAACTACAAGATCTCCCACCTCACTTCACAAAGCTATTCTGTGGAACTATATGTGTGCTTTCAGCTACCTATCTATAATTTGAACAAGGGGAAAGGAGAAATATATATATATATATATATATATATATATACACATGTTAAATGAATATGTATATATGTATATATACACTTAAATCTTCCTCTAAGGATTCTAAGGATTAACAGTGGGATTTATGATTCCTTAAGTCCCATGTTACAGGGCACTGTGAGCAATTACAGTTTGTGGATGTCTAGTGACCTTATAAAATGAGTCTTGTTTGTGTCAGGGAGACTTGTAAATTTTCTATACAGTGTTCTCTGCAGAAAGGCCTAAAAAATGGTGGATTTGGAGTCTAGACTACTTTGTTTTGCAGGTATCAGAAGGTAGGCCAGAAATACTTGCTATGGAACTTGGTGCACCATGTACTAATGACAGTAGAACTTCTTTAGAAATAAATTGAGAAATATTTTTTCCATATAGGCAAAAGTTTGTTTAAAAAAATTCTACCTTACCAACTATTTTTTTCTTTCAGCCAAATCATTGTTTAGAAGTTTCATATATAATAAAAAATATGTTTTGTTATTACTGTGTTTTTGGTGGGGGAGCCCCGCCCTGGTGAGCTATTACTATCAGCATACCTAAATGGACAAATAGCCGTGTAAATAGTTTCTCATAGGTCATTCTACTGATAGCTGTTTGATGTTTTCTTCCCATTATGAATGGGGTTCATTTGTGAACTCCCTTTCTGGGTAGCTACCAAAAAAGTACTGGCTATTGTCCTGTGTGAACCTGTGTCCGTTAAGCCCAGAATATGAGTGCCTTTAGCAAGTGTTAGCATTTCACAGAGAGTAGAGGTGACAGAATTATTGCCATTAATCATGGTTCATAAAACAAGAGGTTGGAATAGCAAAGGTCTGTGTGAATTCTGTTCTACGTCTTTTTTAAATTTCTTAATGAAATCTCAATTGGACATCAAATAAAACTGTTATTATTGATACACCCTGAAAATGAATGCAGTTTTCCTCATCTGACAATAATCACCTTGGTGTGTTACATTGATATTTGTTAAATGGTGGTGCGTGTATTAAATGGGAGAGCTTGCAACTGATGTTTGGAAAAATTCTTTTTTCCAGTGGTCTTTTTCCAACTTGTCTTTTCTGTAGAGAGGAGAGAAGTATATTTACAAATAAAGCATGTGAAGAGACTGTCTGGCACAGTAATTGTGTTGGTTCATCTCTGCATTAAAAGATCAGGTTTGAGGCCTTTTAAAACAAAATTTTCCTTCACTTTAAAAATTGTAAGTTACCTGAGTACTTAGAAACTTTAAAACACGCTTGTAGTTTTGTTATGGAAATAGTAACATATCCTCAGCATTTTATTATGAAAATTTTCAAACATGTGTCACAATTTACAACATACCCACCTCTAGATTCTACCATCAACATTTTGCCACACTTACATTTCCATATGTCTATCCATTTATCCATCACTGTATTCATCAGTCCATCAGGGTAGACATTTCAACTTAAATTTCATACAATGCACTTCTTCTAGGTGCCATAATAACTAGGATTTAATATTTACTTAAATATTTATATCTTTGAAAGCAGTGTGTGAAGTTGATATACTGAACCATTAACATACTTGTTTTTTTCCTCCTGTGGACTTTCGTCTTCCCATTTCTTGTGTGTGCTTACAGTGAAGGAAGACAATTTCTTTTTCAAGCTGAAGTTTTCTAGAGTTGGTTATTTTCATTGTCTTACATTTTAAAGCTTTATAAGAATTTTTCCTTTACCCTTCTTCTGATGGTGTACTTTTGCTGAACTATGCAGCTTCTTCAGAAAACTGTAAATTACAGATTGGGGTTTACGAAATCAGCTTATACCTCATTTTAATCGGTTGCTGCTTTTCTCACTGTTGTTTAATTCTCCTTTCCCTGCTTTCAGCAGCTCTACCGGGAGGAAGAGGGGAGTAAGGAGTCAACCCATATATGAGTAGCTGTTTTAAACAACTCTAAGAGAACAGATTAAGTAGTTTAGAAAGTTGAAATTGTTAATTTATCTGAAGAATTTGATTTGAATTCCCTGAGCATGGTACTTTCTCCTAGCTGTAATTAGCAGAATTAAAAATGATTGTACTGTACAATGAGTTGTTGAAATTGTAAGCCTTAGTAACTATCTTTAGCTTTATGCTAGTGATATTTAACACATTTTTGGACATCTGCCTTTATTTTTGTGACTACTTTTTTGTGGATAAATCTGTAGAATTTAAGTGACTTGTTCTAGGTCATGAAGATTCAGTTGGTAGAATTGAATCAGAATTAAAACTTCAATGTTCCTGACTTACATTCTTGTGCTTGTTTGAGAAGATTCATAGCTTCTAAAATAACTGAACACTTCCTTTGGGCACTTAAAAGGAGCATATGTATTTTTACTAATTAGACTTTTATTTTTAGACATTTCATAATTCTTTAAACTTAAAGATATCCTCATGCTCATAGTTTTAAATTAAGCCCAATGCAATTGCTAAAATCTCACTGCACTATTGAATACTAATAATGCAGGGTTTCTCAGATTTCTTTTTGCCTTTAAATGACCTTCATGATTCACTTATAACTCTATGTAAGTGCTTAAGTGACCCCTTCACTAGTGAAAATTAATCTTGTATGTCACTAATTAAATGTATATTCTTATTGATGTATTTTTTTTAAGGGAAAGTAACTCCATGTGTTAGGATGACTGATATTATCCTAGGGTAAAGCACATCATGTATTTCTACTTGGTAAATCTGGCATTTATGGGAACAAAACATTTTTTGGGGGAGTGGCTAGTCATTGTTTTGCCTTCTTTTCATACCTGAGTACCCTCCTATGGTTTTGTAAATCAATGTATCATTTAATAAGAATTTCACATGAATTCTGCATTATTTGGTGTTAACATTGTGGTACCCTCAGCTGA